TACCGGCGAAGGGGCGTGGCTGGGTGGTGGGATGTGGGTGGCGGGCTTCCACCAAAAAGCACTTGAAAAACTTTGCAATCAACGCAACGCGGGGCATCGAGCGCTGATTACAATGCCCCGACAGAGAAGTCGCCGTCGCAGTTGCAGCGCAAAATGTGCAATGTGCGTGAGGGGGTGGGGCGGAAAAGGGGCGAAAAGGGGGCGGGGCTGCTGCCCCCCACACAATGCAATATATTTTCGCTTTGGCATTTGTTGCGTTTTGGCAGCGTTTTTTTGTTGTTGACTCTTATTTTTTTGTTTATTTGTTTGGATTTCCGCTGCCTCACAAAAATCCTTTTTTTTGCGGTTTTTTTTGTGCACTGCATGATTGACAGTTGCCAGGCATTGATGGAGGCTTAGAGTGGCGGTGGGCGGGGCTCTCAGCCCCTCAGCCCCCGCCTGCAATACCTAAATGCATTCAGTCAAAAGTTGTGCGAAAGCCTCCGAATAAAAATATTAAAAAATATATGTACATCCCCCAATGCAAAAATAAACAAATCCATGGGCCTGCGAGCAACAGTGGCAGTGAAAATAATAGATCGCCAGACTTTAAGACTTCTAAAAATTTATCAAATTTTAGAAATTTCTGTAAAGATTTATTCTGAAATTATTTTATCAGAAAAAATAATTTCAATATTAATAAGAATTAAAAACATTTTTGGAAAGTGTAAAGGCCGCTTAAAAAACCCTCATTGAAATATTTTCAATTTTTTCTGCCCAGCACTCCTAACATAAAACAATATTTAAAATTCAAATTATGATTTCAGTAACCAAAAATAAATTAAAGAAACATTTTTAGCATTCTCCTCGGCACTCCTAATATTTTTCCCCTGCTTGTCCAGGCGTTCATATTACGCATACGCAATGTAGACGGCAAACATACAACGCAAATGCTGACAGGGGCTGCGGGGAAGGGGTTGGCCCGAAAGGGGCTCGAAAAAGGGGGGACGACTCATAAAATGCAAGCACAGCAGCGACAGTTGAGAGGGCCAGCCTAAAGGTATGCTATGAAAAAATTGCATAAGAGCAGCAGCTCGAAAAACGAGAGGCAAAAAAAGAACGCATTTGTTTCAAAATTAAATACTCATGTGTATGTGTGTGTTCTTGTGTGTGTGTAGAAAAGAAAGCAAAAAGGAAAAGAAAAAGAAAGCAAAAGTTGTTGGTTTTGTGCGTTGATTTTTGTTTTGGTTTTGTTTTGCTGCAGCTCCCCTCGTTATAATCATTTCGCCGCCCCTTCCCTTTCCTTCGCAGGGAAGTCGAAAAAGCCGAAGAAAGGGGGCCAGGAGACAGGAGAAAGGAGTGCAGGGCAGGGCACAAAAAAAAAGAAAGTGTAAAAGCAAAAGTATTTATTATGCGGCAATGGCTTGGAGAGGCCTACAAGAGGCCTGCAAAACATCAGAGTCAACGAATTGCAGTGGTGTGTGTGCACCCAAAGTTGCATATCTACATACTACCCTTTTACAAAATTTCATTTTCATATTTTTGAAGGTAAATGTGGTTATTTCTTATAATAATTACGCATTATAAAAAAATAACAATAAAAATAATTTAAATATAATATTTTACCAAACGCTTTTAAACTGATTATAAATTAAAAAAATGTTTACATGTTCTATAAATGGCTTGATTTGCCTTTAAAAAGTATTAATTTTAAGTCAAAATATTTAAAAAATATTTTTTATGACAAATCTAGTTATGGAAATGGAATGGAAATGGAAAAATATAGGTATAAAATTTAAAGTATAATATTTTTTTTGGTTCATTTTTAAAAAAGATATTAAAATTTGTTCCGTGCAACACATAACCGTTCCCCACACAGATACTCTCGCACACATACACCAGTGCAATCGGCGTCAACGTCCGCAGACTCGAGGCGCCTGCCACTTTTTTGTTGCCTCCTTTTGGGCTTTCTTCTTCCCAAGCTTTCTTTTTTAGATAAATTTTTATTTGAATTTATGCATGTGCGTCTCCCCGAAAGAAGGGGCCCAGAAAAAGGTGGAGAGGGAGGGGAGAAATCGCTGGAGATGCATATACACATATAATGAACACCATGTAATGCTCCAGACTTCCGAAAAAGTTTTCGGTTGTGTTCATTGGGAAAGGCTATCGAAAAGAGGACCCTTTGTTTAACATTTTGGATTTAAATGAACATTTTTTAAGACGTGCATAAAAATAGAATAAACAATGTGTATTCCAAAATCGAATTAAAATTGTGCTCATTAATAAAATAAAATATTTATTCATACTTTTAGAAGTTAATTTTGTTCCCCTTGAAATCGTCTTTATAATTTTTATAATCCTTTAAACTGCTTTGTTTGAGGTTTTTAAGTTGTATATAAATATAATAAGTATATTTAAAATTTAAATAATAATTTCAGTTAGCATTAAATTATATCTATATACTCCCTAAATATTTATAAAATCACTATAATGATTAACAGTTAAGTTAAACAAATATAAAAAAATATATGTATATTCAAAATTAAAATTATAATTTTGGTCACCAAAAAAGTTTTTCTTTCTACTCATTAAAGATAATTTGTGTGCCTCCCTTAAATCCTTATAATCGAAGAACTACCATTTTTATTCATCGCGAGTCCGTAACCTTTTAGCAAGTCAACACTGTGAGACTTGCATTTTAATTTTCGAGCGTTTTTTTAGGCGCTTTCGGATTTTTGACAACATTTCCGCTGGCTTGGCCCATCTGGGGCCTGTCATCCAGCTTCTGCCACCCCGAATTTCCCCCTTAAACTCGTCAAGCGTTGCAACAAAGTGCGTTATGCATATATACACTTTTTTTTGCGTTTTTTTTCTGGTTTTTTCCACTGCACTGAAGTAGGAAAAGCGGGCAGAAGAGCTAGGAAACATAAGAAAAACGACAGTGGCTACTCGTGTTCCTTTTGCTTTTGCTTTCATTCTCCTATATATATTTTTTTCCCACATTTTCCGCGTTTATCCCTGTTGACGAAAATTTTTGCGCTTAAAAAGAATGAGACGGAGGCGGAGGAGAATGTAATGTGAAAAATATTTGCCGGAAGCTAAATGTTTTGCAAGGCGAGTAGGTACAGTTGTGCTCGCCGTGCGCCCAAAAAGTATGCATTACATTCATTTTGAATGCGAGCCAAAATTAGTGGAGACAACCGCCACCGCCGCCGCCAGAATGCCTTGTTCGCACTGGCTGGGTAAAAAATAAATTGAATATCGAGCCACATTTCTTCTTGCCTTTTTTTTTTGATTTTTTTGTTTACTCCCTTTGTTTGTCCTGTTGCAACATGCGACAATTTTTCTTATTGTTTGATTTGAATATTTGATTTGGTTTTTATTTTATTTATATAGCAGTCTCAAATAATAAATGTGCGGACATGGAAAGGCTGGCGAGCGAGTCCGAGTGAAAAAAGGGACCAGTGTACACACTGCGTATACTCTATTTGTATATTAATTAAACCTCTGGGGTGAAATTAAATAAGTGTGACTTATAAATAATTTAAAGATTATTTGGAATATCATTTAAAAAAAGAGCTTTACGTTTAAAAAGTTTTCAATAAATCAATATGAATATTTCCTCCAGACTTTTGACTTCAAAAATCACATTTTTTCTGCCTTGCTTATAGAACATATTACCGAAAACCTAATGATAGGGAATCCCCGAACGTCATTTTGTCGAGAAGGCCTGGACAATGCCAGCTCCCTTGACAGCCATATTGAAAATTATAGTGTCGTAAACATGCAACTGCAACAACAGCAACAGCATTGGTGGCAAATAAAAAATTAAATTAAAATAGAAGGAAATTCCGGGGGGTGGGTTGGGGGAGAGTAGGGCGAAAGAAGGACCTCGAACAGAACATGGCCAGTAAATAAATAATACAAACACAAAAAAAATCCAGGGGTACAAAATTGCAAACGGAAATTGCCAACAATGTGTGGCAAGTGAAAAGGGGAAGTGGCCCACAAAACGAAGCGATAAAAAGTCAACTACCATCGAAATAAAACCAAAATAAAACAAAATTCTATCAACTGTGCGAAAACTTATGGCATAGGGTGTTTTAGGTGTGTGTGTGTGTGTGTGGGAAATTTACAGAGAGATATTTACACATAGATATACGACAACAACAACATAGATTACATACACATAGATTGGATTAACTAACAAAATTACACAGACACTTATCGATAGACATTGAGAGAGAGATAGAGAGAGTGTGTGAAAGAGTTAGCTAGCTAGAGGTAGAAAGAGACAGATAAGGAGAGAGAGAGAGAGCGCTACACATTAAACAAAATATATATTTACTATATAGAGCTAGGAAACTGAACAACTAACATTTGATATTTGGTTTTTTCTGCAATTACTTTTAAGGTTTTTTGGTTTTGGATTTTTTTTAACTGAATAGAAAAAAGAAAAACTTTACTTTCTTAGGTTGGGAAAAACTTGATATGTATATATAGGGCATAGATATAGATGGTTAAGATATATATATATATTTATATAGATATATATGTATGGGTATATATATGTATAAAAAATTCATAGACAAAGAACACGACGAAGAGCAAAAATATATGTTGAGTTTTGGTTTTGATTTTGTTTTCTTTTTGCATTTGTTTTTGGATTTTGTATTTTGTTTTTGGTAATTGAATATATAATAATATGGCATTTAGATTGTATATATAAGAACAGACAGAGAGAGAGAGAGCAATACTTAAAATAGAGATATACATATAGAAATGGAGTCGGATCGAGCCAGATAGGGAGATCAGATATGTAGATCTTATTTTGCGAGACGCGTCTCGGAATTGAATATTTTTTTTCATTTTTCATTAACCTATCGAAGCAGCAAAAGCATTCACTGAAAGGGATCTCCTGGGACTGGAGTTTCTTTTCGAATTTTGGCAGGGGTTCTTCTCGAATCGGGGAGTTCAGGGGCGGGGTCAGGGTCAAGAGTAGCTGAGAATCGCAGACTTACCGACTCGTGGGAGGCGCGGTAGTCAAGGTCGCCGCCCAGGCCGCCGCCAGCTGATGCCGAACGCTGTTGCATGTGTCTACTGTGACTGCTGTTGTCGTCCTCGCTGCATTCGATCTCCTTCTTGAGGCTCTGCGGATGGAAGAGGTGGCATTACCAAAGGATCACTTGGTGGGTCTTTTAAAAGCATAGCTATCTAAGTATAGGAGACGAGAGGGGAACTTCAGTTGGGCAAAGCGAAGTTAAAAATAAAAATGAAATAATAATAAATAAGTAAAATATAAATGTGATAAAAAATAATACAAAAAAATAATAATAAAAATATAAATAATAATACAAAAATAAATTTCAACTATTTTATTATTTTAGTTAAGTTGTAAAGGTTGTTTAATCCTTATCTTTTCGATACGATTTTTTCAATCAATTCTTTTTGATACTGGCAATATTGAGCTCATTGCCAAGACTTGTATTTTGACCAGAAAAAATAATGGTTTGGTTCTCTTGATTCATGCGCGGATCCAGGGGTGTGGAAAAATATACGAATTTTGCTATTCTAAAAGTATGCAAACAAAAATCCCCAGTTTCCAAAAAAAAAACTGTTTTTGGTCGACACATCGGAAATATTGATCCAAATATGAAATGTCATACCTTTCTGAACTCGTTATTAAATTTCCAATCGATTGACATTTAAACCAGGACATTTTATTTTTTCTAAATTTTACGCAAAAAATCATGGGGTACCCCTTTATAAAAAAAACTAAAAATTGGCGAAAATTTTATTTTTTCAAAATCACATGGAAATTGTTCTGGATTTATTGATAATTTTGATATCTGTTCAAAACAGTATGTATTTTTGGTGTAGGACCATTTTTGGCCAAGTTACAGCAAAAAAAACCAAAATACAAATTTCATATTTTTGTCAAAAACTGATATCACCCCCCACAATAGTTTTTATCGAAACTAATATTTGCTGAAATATTTGTATTCCATTTGCTTCCCCATCAGTCAGTCACTTACCAATGGCACCGATTGCACGGGCAGGAGATTGGCCACCGTTCCGGGACTTAGCAGGCTGGACGAGGATGCTCCGCCCCGTCCATCATTCCCACCGCCGCCTCCGTCGCGCGAACTTCTGGACGCCGGTCGTCCGCCGGAGCCGCCAATACTGAGGTCCGAGGCGCCCGCTCCCGCTCCCGATCCCTGAGCCGCCGGCGTGGAGCGCTGCGATTCCATGGCCGCCGCCACAGCCGCAGCCGCCGACGAGGATGACGAGGGTAGCGTGATCAATGGCGAGGGTATCAAGGTGGAGGAGCCGGTGGACAGATCTACGCCACCTCCTCCGCCGCCGCCGCCGCTCGCTCCGCTGGCCATCTTCATGTTGAGGCCCAGATCGTTGCTGCTGTTGTCCGCCTCGTCGTCGTCGTCCAGATCCATCTCGTCGTCGTAGTCGTCGTCGAGGATCTCGCTCTTGGCAATCACAGGCATGGCATCCTCGTCATCCGAGTGCGAGTGGTGATGGTGGTGGTGCTGCTGCTGCTGGGAGTGGTGGTGCTGCTGCGAGTGGTGGTGCTGCTGCTGCAGGCGCTGCAGGTTCTGGTGGGCCAGTCGCTGGGCAATTCCCCTGGCCATCGCGGTGGCCGTGGTGCCCACCACGACCACGTCATCGTCCAGATCCTCATCCTCGTCCACCTGACCATGATGATGATGGTGATGGTGATGATGATGATGCAACTGATCCCCTTCATCGTCGTCATCGTCGTCCACGGCAACCACTGAATCCGCTGCTGCTGTGCCGCCCGAGGTTCCTGTGCCGCCATTGCTGGCCGCTGTGGTTTTCCCGCTGCTAGTGTTGTTGTTGTTATTGTTGTTGCTGCTTGAGTTGTTGTTGTTGTTGCTGCTGTTGCTGCTGCTGTTGTTGCACGTGGTGTGGCTGCTGCCGCCCTGCTGCGTTGCTGCTGCTGCCGCTGCGCTTTTTGGCTCGACATTGGGTCTTTGATAGAGATCCAGCGGCATGGGCGTCTCCTCATCCTCGTCCTCGTCCTCCTCCTCCTCTCCCCGCTCCCTCATCGCCTCCTCGCTCTCGTCCAGCTCGTCCACCTCCTGCACCTCGTCGTCGTCCTCCTCCTCGCTCTTTAAGTTGCGCGCCAGCAACTCCTCGGCGAGCAGCTCCTCGTCTGCCCGCTGATGCTGCTGTTGCTCCTGCTCCTGGCCATCCTCCTTCACCCTGACCCTGTCCTTGTCCCTGGAGGAGCGCTTGGCGGGCGTGGGACTGCAGCGATCGCTGGCCTCCCGCTTCTGGCCGCCGGAGGATGATGTTGCCTCCTCCGAAGTGGCCGATGTTGCCGCCGTCACCGAGGATGTTGCTGCCGTTGCTGTTGCTGCTGCTGCTGTGGCACAGGTTGCTGCTGTTGTGGTGGCCGCCGTTGTGGTTGTACTACTGCTGCTGCTCGTGCTGCTGCTGCTGCTGCTTCCCGTCCCCGCCGCCGTTGCCGCTGTTGCTGCCGCAGATGTTGCTGCTGTCGCTGTCGCCGATGTTGCCGCCGCCGCCGACGCCGCCGCAGATGTTGCTGAGGTTGTGGTCGATGTGGCCGCCGCCGCAGTGGCCGTGGCCGCCTGTGTGGCCGCTGTGGCATCAAGCGCCGCCGCCGGGCTGTCGGCCGCCTTGTGGGCGGACCCGCCACTCCCACCGCCGCCGCCCTGCGGACGCAGGCGGTCCGGCTCTCGTTCCGGTTCGCGCAGCGTCGTGTTCTGGTTCGTCATCTCGGCGAGGCCCTTGACCTGCAGGATGGGGATAATGGTTAATAAAATATATATAATTTTAAAAATTAAGAAATATTTCAAGAATCCTTGGCTTTCCAATTAAAATTTATTTTTTTTTGTTCTTTTAAAATGTACACAAATTAATTTTTAGTTATTTAATTAATTAATTGGGATTTCAAAAACAACAATTGAGCATTATTTAGATACCAGATTCTCACTTATTTAAGAAAAATTTTTCTTGAAATCAAGACGAAATTATTCTCAAATTAGTTTTTGCCTTCAAATATTATGAGTGTTTTAAATAAATTGTTAAATATTTAATTTAATTTAACACAAAACTTTACACCACAAAAATTGAGAATCAATAAGATAACAGATTTTCAGTTATTAAAGAAGAAATGTTCTTGAAATCAAGACGAAATTAATCTCAATTAATGGCCACACTAGCCAGGGTTGCCACCCACCTTGAGGGATTCGGCTGTCTTGAGCAGCGCGGACAACTGACAGTATTGCACGTTCACCTCGCCCTTGTACATGAATTCAACTAAGGTTTGCAGCTCGGCAAAACGGACGTCCTTCAATATCACAATTGGATGTCTTTCGGGGTGCTCCAGGAACAGGCTCTGGAAGTACGAGGAACAAGCCGAGAGGACCACCTGGAATGGGCGTAAAAAACATAAAATAAATTAGTAAATAATGAAAATATATATATATTTATATTATTGTTACAAATATTTAATAGAAACGAAACCAGAACACCTTTTCTCAAGTGTCAAGTATTTAAGTAAAAATGTTCCTTTTTAATTTTTCGCTTTATCAGTCCATCATCTTATGCACTAGGCCGAAGGAAAGGCGCATTCTCTACGCTTTTCCCCCTGGAGCTCCGCGATGTTGCGGCAAGCATTTATTAGATTTACGATCTGGCTCTCAAACGCAGCCACAAATGCCGCTTTTGAAGATGCCACAAACGAGCGATCCGGAAAATGGTAGAGCAGCGGGGAAATCGAGGGAAAGGGGCTCTAAAAAAGGAGCGCTGCGATGGGCGATTCAGTTGGAGTTCAATTTGGAGTCCAGTTCTTTTTTCCTCTTCCTTTTTTTTGCTCTTGCCAGTTGGCTGCGGGCGTCAAGGCGTGAACATGCCACGAATGACAATGCCACAGCAACTGCAACAGCAGCAGCAACATCAGCAACTTGCAACTGGCAACTGGCAACCAGTTCCGATCCGTTTCAGCATTGCTGTCGATTTTTATGTGCGCATGCACGCCTTGGGGTATGCAATGAACGGCCGATATATATAGGTGTATAATGCATAAAACCCCTTCGGATCGGCCCGATCGGTGGTTGGGTTTTATGGGGGAGTGGAGCGGAGGTACGGCCATGTTGTAAATTTTCATTGCTGGCAAATTGAAAAGGCGTCGGCCTCCATTTCGCATATAGATTTCGCTATAGCCTAATGAGGTTTTGGCCTAAGACTGCGGTAACCTCAGAGTTTCAGCGATGGCAGCGTGAGGAAACTCACGAGGTAAGTAAAGTAAAATACGAAAATGTAATCTATCTATATGTATAAAATTGCACCCATTTTTTAGGGATGTTGAAGGTGCAGAGGTGCGTGGCACTTGTAGGAACGTCTTTTTTTTGGAAACTGGTTTGTTTTAAGCTGAATAGCAAAGCTAGGAAAGATTTTTTCATTATATGCTATATAAGCCATTTTAAATATGTAAAAAATTGCCTCAAAACATAAAAAAAAAAATTATTTTACACAATTAACAGGGCTAAAAGAAATCGTGAAAGTTCCAGGCCTTTGGTGCCATCTCTAACAGGTGCTCCTTTTCCTCCTGCCGCCCCATGGAATCCCCACTCGCAGCGTCTCCTGTCACGCGCCGTTTGCGCCAGAATTTATTTAAAAAAATGCAATCGGCCTGCACACGCCCCCGAATCGCAACAACAGCGTAAAATGAGCGTTAATAAATTCACGCGCATATTAGAAGTCACGAGCGTGGGAAGAGGGGTTTCCAAGAGGGGGCTTCGCAGGGTCCAGTCTTTCAGTGGCATTAAGAAAATCGAATTTCCTGATTGCAAGAGGGGCTTGGCCGAAAAACGGGGAGGGGGAGATCTGGAGTTGGCCAAAAGTGAGGAGGGGGCGTCGCAAATTGGCAACACTTTTAATTGAACGTCGCTGCCGGTCGAGGAAAGAAGAAGCAGCCAAAAGGGGTTGGAAGGGGGGAATAACGCCCCCAAAGCTAATGAACGCCAAAGGCTTTGATTTCTAACGCCACGGCCCAGTTAGTAAACATATTCTGCTCTCTTCCTATATTTAAAAAAGCAAAAAAAAAAACGTTGCATGTAATTTGCGGGAAAATAGTCAACAACATAAATTTCCCGAGCGAAAGAGAGGGGCAGAGTTTGCCAGAAAGAGGTGGCAAGAGTGAGAGAGGGGTTCCAACCAACCGATCCGATCGCATGTCCCAAGTGGGCGTCCACCTTTCCAACCGAAATTTAAACAGCAGCTTTAGCATCGAGAGAAATTAAACTAAATGAACGGAGAAATATCTGCCATTTTGGCCAGCGAATTCCTATTCCAATTACCAATGCGTATAAATCAAGTGGGGCAAAAAAGAAGAAATACGAGTGGGCGCCAGGGAATTAACTTTCTTGGCTGAAAGGCAGGGCGTTATCGCGGCATTCTTATCGAAGATCTAGCTCGAAGATCCCGAAACGATCCCGTTTGGTTAGATATATGGGTTTATGTCTTTCACAGCACGCACCTGCAAATTAAATCTTTATCTCGTTTAATTCCCAGTCTTCCCAGTTCCCCTTTTATAAGAAGATATACGAAGATCTTTAACTTTATTTAACCTATTTTCTTGGAGTAACTCCTTTTGCTAGTTTCCAAACTTGGGTGTGACGTCTGGCGTCGCTGTTGCTGCGGAAAGGTTAACATTTCTATTATGGGGGGCACCACTCCCTTTTATAGATGTTTTTGTTGCTTGACCACCATCAGAGAAATACAACAACAACCACTGGAACACTGCGGCGAAATATGCAAATTATTATGTTTGCATATCGCCGCCTTGCCGGGTTTCATTTTTTCTACTTTTTTCCTCATTCTTTTTTTTGCCAGCAATTTTCTGTGTGTTTGTGTGGCGCTTGCGGCTCTTTTTATTGCTGTTCTACCTCTTCTCTATATATATATATTTCGATATTCTTGTGCAGCCTCACTCGCATTTATGTCTTAATACAATTTGGCCAGATTCGCTAGGAATGCTAAATCCATACTACTACCACTACTTCTACCTGATGATAGATGATGGCTGATGATGATCCCCTGGGATCCAAACCGATCCGATCCGATCCCATCCAATCCGACTTTCCAACATTGTGATTACTTCTTTCGTCCCTCAATTTCGCATAATGTGTGCAAATTTATATAATTTAGCCTGATGGATTATCGTTATCGATTGCTTTCCCCTGCCGATAATTGTGTGTGTGGGCAATTTAATTTTATTGATTTTTCCGATGACAGGGAGTGGATCACTGAGCTGTGATTATCGATTGATTATCGTTCGATTTGCATCTATTAAACTACTAATTTAATTGATAAATAAACAGGCGTTTGTTTTAATTTTTAGTAAATACAAAAAAGATTTCCCTCTTATTCGTATTCGTGTGCATTGTATATTTATCATAACATTAATAACAATTATGCCGCATCATCTGCTTGCCATTTTAGAAGCTGCTCAAAGCATTTCACAAACTGATTAATGGCCAAGAGACCCGGTAGACAAGTAGCAAGTAGAAGGGGCAAAGAATGGGAGAAAAAATTAAGAAAAAAAAACGTACACAATTTTTTTTCAAAATATGGCATTTCTAATTTAACAACTGCGCTTCAAAAATTGCGTTTTTTTTCATACCGCCACTGCCGTCGCGTCGTCTTTCTTTCGCATGCCTGCCATTTAATTATTTTCTTAGAGCTCATTTTATGGGGGCCGCGGGTCCAAAGGGGCGGGTTTGAGGGGAGTGCAGGGATGTTGGAGTGTCGAGGGGGCGGGGCGGCGGGTGCGCAGCGCAGACGGCGGCAGCAACACATCACACGTTGACCTTGATATTCGCATTCGCAGCGGAACCGCACAACTTGCACACCAGCAAGCGAAAATATGTGGCTACAGCAGGGGTGGAAATTTTCAATTATTTTATATTTAATTCCCTTGTCTCATAAAAATACAACCCTGTCAATGATGCCAAAGCGGCTTAACACTCATTTACAATAAAATAAAGCGTAATGTACTTAATCTCGATATTAGTCAGTTGTTCCATTACATATGAAAAATCTAATAACTAATTTGGACAAATTTCCCTAAATTTAATTTTTGTATTTTGTTCAACCCATTCCTATAACAATGACCGCAACTGTGTCCACATGGACCCCCACTCACACACACACATACATATGCAAAGCATTAAGTAGAATCGTCGACGAGAAGAGGAAGCAGAAGAGGGTGTGGGGGAAAGAGAGCGGGCGATGCGAGAGAGGCGCACGCAACGCCGCTTTCAAAGCTTCGCTGTAGTTGTAGTTGTTGCTAATGCCATTTGATTGCACGCGGGTGGTGCGAAAGGGAGGGAGGGACCGGCGATCGCGGGCGCTAGAGCGGGACAGAATGGGCGATAAGCATTTGCGAATTGCAAAAAAAAAAAACACAGACGCAATGGAAGGGAACACTCAAAGTATAAATAAATAAATAATGCGAACGGGCACCCACACACAAAATATGAAAATAAACTATTTCGAAAATTATCTCATCAAAGTGAGCCGCTATCGCCGTCTCTGTCTAATTGCGGCTGCAGTTGGGTGCGTTAATTTCCGGCTATCTCTCTCTGTCCCACTCACTCCGCCATAAATCCGTCTTGGTATTAAATAAATTTAATATATTTGCTTGGTCTTTGGGACTGCTTCACATTTTTTTGCCCATTTTTCCATCTTTATTTTTGGTTTTCTGTACGAATGACTGATTGCATAGACGAAGACACAGAGAAAGAGGGAGGGGGTGAGAAAGGGAAGGAGCGAGACGTCGCTAATGCGTTGACGTTGACCTTGGATTTAAAGTCCAAACAAATTTTGAGATCTTTAAAAAAAAAGAGAAAAGTGAAGGAACATGAAGGCAAGCCCAAAACCGAATTTGAAACCAAAAACGCAGCAAAGTGGAATAAACATTTATAATACTTGATAATACAGTAATGCCACGCAAAAAGGAAACTTCTAACAAGAATTATTAGAAATTTTAGTGAAGGAAAATTGTTTTATTTTCGATTATTTTATTAACTCTTCAAAAACTTTTCAAACTTTCAGTACACACCCCCATTTACACCCCACTCTCTTATTTCTTACGCACATAAATCAGCTGTTTTCCATTTGCTTTTATTTCTGCTTTGCTTTTCTCCTCTCTGCTTTTCAAGTTCAACACGAGACGCGCCCCCAGAAACGAAGCACAGCAACAAAATAAAATGTGCGTAAAACGTGCGTAAGGCCACGCACACGCACACGACGACGATGACGTCACAAAACCAGTTGATAAGGAGGCGCGAATATTCAGGGGGGAGGGGGAAGGCCGTTGGCAACTCAACCCACTTGTTGCCATACAAGAGAAGAGCAACAACAACA